CCCTAGAGAGGCATATCAAAATTAGTATATAACTAAGAAATACCAAATACTTGCATATTAACTCAGGAAGCAGATCAAGAACCGATAAAACTTCAAGGAGATAGAAAATATCAGGAAATTAAGTTGAAATATTCTCAAAATAGTTCCACCAACATGGTATACCTTAAGAATCTAACAAGCCATCACACGCACAATTCTATGCCATACAAATGACTCTATAGTTAAAATTACAGCCTATGAGGCTGGTGGTTTAGGAGTGCTTAATATTAGTAACATGAACAGAGCATTACTAGGGAAGTGGTCTTGGAGATTTGCTAATGATAAGGATGCTGTTTGGAGGAGGCTGATATGTTCTAAATACAATATTGATCCTTTTTCATTATTGTTCAATAGCAAAATCCCAGCTCAAGCTTCTTGGATTTGGAGTTCGGTGGTGAATGCTTATTTTAAAGAAGACTCGTTTGGCTCTAATTTTCGCAGCATGTGCAGAGTTCAAGTTGGGAATGGTCAATTTATTCGGTTTTGGCAGGACAAATGGGCAATGGACTGTCCTCTTAAGGTCTCTTTTCCGAGGCTGTTCGCAATTTCTTCAAACCAGAGTGGAAAACTGATTGAATTTGGCGAGTTCAGTTCTTTGGGATGGATTTGGAATATTCAGTTGAGGAGAAGTTTGGCAGACTGGGAATTTGAACAGTGGGCTAACTTGATGTCTATCATTTCTAATTTTTGTCTGTTTAAAGAGGCAATCGACGGTCTGATATGGAAAGGAAACGGAACGGGTGTTTATTCTGTAAACTCATGTATGAAGACTTGTTCCTTGGCTCAAAAGGAGGATTCTTTTTGGAAGAATATTGTGTGGAAAGGTTTGGTGCCACCAAGAGTTGAGTTATTTATGTGGCAGGTAGTTCTTCAAAAACTGCCAGTGAGGTCTGAACTGGCTAAGAGAGGGGTTACGGGAATTGTAGAACTTTCTTGTCCTTTATGTAATTTGGTGGATGAATTCTTCTCATTTATTTTTCTCTTGTTCTGTCGTGTGGTCACTTTGGAACAAATTTGTGCATTATTGAAGTCTTAATGTGGTTCTTCAAGAGAATGCGCAGAAGTTCCTCCAAGCTTGGGAAGATCTAAATCCTAGGTCTGCTATTTGGAAGTTTATTCCTGCCGTTGTTATTTGGACTATTTGGAAAGCTAGAAATGATATTGTATTCGATAGAGGGAAGATTGACCAACCTAACCTGTTTTTCTTAGCAAGAGTACGGCTTGCGTCTTGGTTTTTAGCTAAGTTTGCAGATTCTGTTATTTCTATGGATTCTCTAATCGGTGACCCTTCCCTAGGGGATTCATGCTTCCCACTCAACAAATCGATTGTTTCTACAATTCCTTGGTCCCCCCTCCTAAGGGCTTTGTAAAATTGAATGTGGATGCAACTACAAGTTGTGATTGGAAGAGCAATGGAGTTGCGGGTATTCTAAGAGATGAGGAAGGTCTTCTTGTATTATCTTTTAAGGAGGCTACTGGTTCGGGTCCACCTATTTTGATGGAGTTAAAGGCTATTCAGAAGGGCTTACTTTTCTTTAATTCAGTGAGAGGAGATGTTAATGGTCGGTTGATATTAGAATCAGACTGTAAATTGGCAGTTGATTGGATTAGGAATGGAATTTTGTGTCCTCATTTTTTTGTCTTCATTGTCAGGGATATAGCAGTTAAGATTAAAGATGTGGAGGGTGTTATTAGATGGGTCGCTAGAACAACCAATATAGAGGCTGATGGGTTGGCTAATCTGCCATTGGATAATTTCAGTATGTTTTAGGGGTATTTTATTTTGGGTTTTTAGGAGTTTTTGTAAGGGACTTATCTTCATGTTGTAATCTTATGTATTTCATTAATGAAGTATAAGGCACTCTTTTCCTCCTTCCTCTGATGAAGGAACTCTGAGTTCCTTAATCAAGAAGGGGGTTTTAATGAGGCCTTCAATTCCTATCAAAAAAATATATATATATCTATAACCAAACAGATGATCATATACACTTCATCTACCATCAAATTTCGGTACATTTAACTTTTATATTTCAGTGATTACTGCATTCTCATTATAATTTCCAGACGTCATAATTAAGCAATTAAAACAAATATCAAGACATTGGCTTTCTACGCAACCTCAATTATCTGTAATTTGGATGTTAAAATCAGATTAACTCAATGCACACCATGGTGTTATACACTTGAAGCAAAGCTCTATATTTCAAAACTAATCACTATTTTACAAAATTAACCTTTTTTAAAGGAGTAAGGAGAGGAGAAAAAGGAACGAAAATGAGTAAAATCCAATCAATAAAACCATAAGTAGAGATGGGAAAAACTACCAAGAATCAAGAATTGCCAAACAAAAATGTGCGGTTTTGTTGGCTTTAGTGGATAATTTGTTCTTTGCACTTACTATGTGGAATAATGATCCATCCATCCTCCTCAGTAACATCAGTGTGCCTCATGATGACAGAAGCATTCTTATCACTAGCAACATCAGAATTCTTGCCTAAAAATCCATTGCCTTGTCCATGATTTTCAACCATGGGATACTCAGGAAACAGATCTTCTACTATAAGCCTATCCAAACTTTTCACAGACTTGGGAACATACGATGACTCAGGCATATCCACTTGTACCGGAGATGGTTCTGGTGTTCCCTGTTGATTGGCCGCGGCAGAAGAAAGTTCATTGTTTCCACCAATATCAGCTTCTGCAACGATAATTTACAACTCAAGAACTCGGGAAACAAGTTTTACTATAAAAACAAGAATTCCATCATACCACGGACAACTTATGGCTGTTTCTCATTCAGAATCAATCAAGTTTCTCACTCGGCTCAAGTCCCTCAAGCAAAAGTGAACTTTGAATACAACCAAACCGAATGAACAAAACCACTCTTCCTACAATAAGCTAAACTAGGCCAATTTTCATTCACAGAAAAATCCTTGTCCTTTAAGTCTTCAAATTATCTTGGGTTTTAACTTTTTAACGTTTACAATAAAGTTCAAGTAAAATAAAAATAATAATTCTACCCAAGTAAAATCACAGAAGTAAAATCTAGGTAACTAGATAAAGCTGTGAACTCTTACGATTCCTAATCGGAAAATGGATTAAGACATTCAGTAAAATCACTAATATTTACAATCAGGCAAATTCAAAGCTAGATAATTAGAAAAACAAAACGAAAAATGAAATTCAATAACGAAAATGTGATTGAACGATTTGCATTTGGCTAGACATAGAAAAGGAATAAGATGACCGGAAATGGAATATCGCGAAGCGGTTACCTGATAGGAGATCAAATGCTGATGAGCATTCCATTTTCACTCTTTCTAACTGTTTGGCGCCTGGGAAAAGGGAGATCTGATTTCCTGACGGGACATTTTAACTATACTACACTCGGTTGTTCAATTAATTTGAGTTTACGTTTAAATCTGCTCGACCCCATTCCTTGTAAGCTAGCTTGATGGCAGTTTCCTTGAGCCCATTCCAATAAAACGATGGCGTTTAGAGCCCAACCTTTGCAATTTTCCTTTGGGCCTAAATGATTTTCCTAAATGGGTAGATGATGTGACAATTAAAAGATTTGGTATAGTTATATATTTAACCCTCGTTACTTATAATTTTATCATGTATTCTTAATTTTAATTGAATTCAATTAATTTAGTCCTCTAATTAGATGATGACATGTGTCACAACCTTCTTCTCATTTCTTCAATGTCGATTGCGTAGAAAGTTCATTAAATTAAAAAAACTAAAATTAAAAAAAATCTTCAATGAAGTGATGACATGTGTCATCATCTGATCAGCTAACTAATTTTATAGAATATATAAGTATGAGGACCAAATGTACAATTGTACTAAATTTTTTAACTGGCACACAACTCCTTCGTTAATTGTTAATAGCATGTGGCTTAATTGGTAATATCTAAATAGTTAAATAGTCTAATTGACAAAATTTAAAAATCTGATAGTCAAAAAAATACGTTCATAATTAATTATAATAAGTATAATTTATTAAAAAAATAAAGATAAAAATGCATTATTTTTATTATCATTTTGCTTGATTAAAATGACGCGGTTAAGAACCAGCGTCACTTGATATTCTCATTGTACATTCTTTGTTCTTTCTTGAAGGTAACTAAAGTTAGCCCATCATTTTCCGACACACAAATTTCCCCTTCTTCCAATGTGTCGGGCGATCACTGGCAGCTGTTACAGTCAAACATAGGAATCTCCGCCATGCATGTGCAGCTCTTATAAAACAACAAGGTTGTCATCTTTGATTGTATGGTTGCCGACCCTTCTAATATATCTTTACCTGCCTACAGCTTCTGTCCTAAAAACGACTTTACCGTCCACTCTATCCTTTACGACGTAGTTTCAAGCACCTTCATTCCCCTCCGTGTATTAATCGACACCTGGTGCTCTTCCAGTTCACGCGACCGAAACGGTACCCTTATCCAAACAGGCGAATACAATGACGACGAACGCATTATTGGCTTGTTCAACTTCACCCCATGCGACGTTAACACAACGGCCTGCGGCTGGAACGAACTCGACGCTACTCGCCTCACCGACCGTGGATGGAACGCCACAAACCAAGTTTTACCCGACGGACGCGTCATTGTTTAATAAGAAAGTAAGATATATATATATATTCAACACTTTGTGCTTGAAATATTCTTCTTCTATTCTTTTCCCATTTTAGCAAAAATAAGAAAGAAAATAATATATATTGATAGCATAATTTAGGTTAATAAGCAGTAGGCTTATTGTTTTCATTCATAAGATTTGTGTGATAGAACAACAATTCTACTTTGGCTTACAAGCACTTCCTCTCTCTTTTTTCCTTTATTTTCTAATTTATGCATAGTACTCTAAAAAAATTGATTGTCAAATTCGAATGATCCAAACCATAAACTAATTAGAACATTAATTTCATACAACATAACATTATCCTAGAAGAAAAAAAATTAAAAGACATGGGTTAAACAAAGAGCAACAACGGGCCCTCAGTTTTGACATAGTTGCCTATTTACAAGCTTATCAACAACATCGGATGAGCACTGAGTTTGGGTTTTATGTCAATGGCCCGAGCTGAGTTTATGAATTTCACTGAGTTCATCCAGCCATTTACTCGAATTACCCAAACACTTGATGCTTCAGAGTAGGCTTTTTTTCAAAGAACTCAAGCTTTGCCACTGGTTGTTTCGTTTCACTTGTAAGATCCTACTGATATGTATTTGTAGCGCATGGCCCAGAAAAGGTAATGCATGAAATTCAACACGCTAAGCACACACATAAGCCAGTAGAATCGATCGAGACGATACCCATTTATCGTATGACCAGAGAGCCACGGCTTGTTTCCGGAGCTTTCCGTCACATTGTTTACTATCGATACGATCACCGAGCTCAAATAATAGCCCATGGCCAAAGAAGCCCAGCAGAGAGATGTCGCCAAGGATCTCATGCTTGATGGCGTCTCGGTGAAGAAAAATTCAAGTAAGCCTGCCAAGGTGAAAAGATCTGCCGATCCCAGAAACAAATACTGCAAAGCAATCCAGAAAAATGTAATGGGTAATGGACTGTTCGAGTCGAGTAGCCCCGAGCTAATCGCCACTCTCTTTCGCTTGATTTCGATAAGTGCTGCCACTGCCATGGCTATTGTCGAAAGAAATAACCCGATTCCAATTCGTTGCAATTGAGAGATGCCGGTCTCAGTTTTCGTTAACCTCCGAGCGAATGGGATGATGAAGTGATCGTAAACCGGGGCTAGGATCATGATGAATACGACCGGGAAAACCGGTAGGGAAGCCGGCGGGATTTTCAATGAACCGAGCTTAGTGTTCATGGTGGCGGCTTGTTCGACAGAGAAAGTGGAGAGCTGAGCCAAGCAGCAGTTGAGAACAATGGTGCAAGCGAATATGGGAAGGATTTTAAGCACAATCTTTACTTCCTCTACTTGCTGGACCGAGCATTCGAGTGCCGGGCAAGCCGGGCTGTTCACCACTGCTCTGTTTAAGAATTTAAGACTATTTGTTGGGATTTGATTCTGTTTACCATTTTCTTCAGTCCCCTTGCCGGTTTCGATTTGATACGAGGGGCTCGCGGCAAGGTTCACGATGACATTGCTCGGGCTTCGGCTTACGCAACTGTTCATCTTGGCAGCAACCAAAACCTGTACAAACACATACATGGATTTCTTCTTTTTAGCAATTCAATCAAGCAAAACACGTTCAAATTTCTTTTAGCATCTGAAATTTACCTTGCAAATGGTTGTTAAAGGGCTTCCAAAGGGTATTTTGTTCCTATAAAACATTGAGCCGGCGAGGAAGATAGGGATCGATAATAAGATCGAGATCGTGGAGATGGCGAAACCCCATTCCCAGCCTTTGTTATCTTCGATCCACACAACGAATGTGACCGCAATAAGGGCACCAAAAGAGAGACTGAAGACGAAGTAATTGAAGAAGGTTGATCTTTGCTTCCGTCCCTTTGGGGTAGTCTCATCAAACTGCTCGGCACCATGCGTTGGCAGTGAACCCTTTATACCCCCAATGCCGAGTGCCACCAGATAGAGTCCTATGAACAACATACCCGCTTTGGCTCCACTAACTTCCTCGCATGGAATCGACGATGCTGATGGACGGCATGAGGGTGGCTTTAGGGACGGTGTCCGAGCTTGTATAGTAAGAATGATCAAACCCTAATAAAATCATTACAGATCACATCAAATATACAATGAATTCGACGTAATCATAATTAGAATGATAAAATTATTATATGTTAGCATCGAATATTAGAATTAAGATTCGAATAACTCTATACTCTTTCCCAAATTAATGATGGATAAAAACAATTTATTTACGTCATATTAACCACACTAGTGACGGATTCAAAGATATCTTAAAGGGCGAGCACATATACTAAAATTATAAATTTTGTATACATGAGATATACAAAATTAAAATTTCAAGATAAAAATAACCAATAAATAAATAACTAATCGAAATATATTTTAATTTCAGTGCCCATTGCCACTTATCCGCACACAAGATTTTGTAACAGACTGAATGGAATGTCGTTGTAATGAACCTGGTGCTGTTTTCTACTTGGCTTTAACAAAAATGGTGCATGTGGGTTTGATTCTCACTTTTCATTTCAATAGACATTCCAAATCTCACTTTGGTCTACCACATCAACCAGTAGCCACACACGTGGTTCATGAACCTGCCCAAAATAAGTAACTAATCGTGTGTGTGTGTACATATATTTAAAAATGTCATTTTTTACACCCATTTTAAGATGTAATGGGCTTGATCTTCCCTGTTCTCTCTACTTCTCATAATTTCGTCCCACTTAATATAGACTCATTGGTGGATCAAATTACCGTATCCTAGACGTCGACCGTACGAGCTGTCGTGGGACAGACGTGGCCTCCGGCAGTACCCAAAGCTGCGACGATTGGGACATTCTTATAGCAGGTGTCGACGTAAAACAGTTACCGTCTGTCCCATGTTGGGCAGGGACAAGATTTCAAAGCAATAAGACAAGATAAGTAATGGATATTTACTATCTTTGCCGAAACCGAGAAAAAGAAGTTTCTCATGTCGTGAATGGCGACAGAAATAGTTCAAAAAAACAAACGGGTCCCCGCCACCTTCTTAGCCCCATTTCCCAAGGCGTTGCCTTTGATTGGATTACGTTTCCATTTTCACGAGGGACCCGACCATTTACTCGTCCCCACACGTCTGAAAATTTATCACTCAGATGTGCCGTATCATAATATCATTGGACACCAAATAAAATTTCATGTTATCTAAATTCATAATAACATTTATGGCAAGCAAGGCCTCGATAGATGAACATAAACAGACGGTGTTGCTTGCGCCTATGACGGCCCTTAAACCTTTAATGCTTTGCACAATCAGATGTTCGGCCACTGTCTTTTTACTTTTATTTTTGTGCCCGTTTTGTTGTTTTCTTAAAAGTACTCATCTTTTCATGCAAAAAAGGTTCTAACTAATTGATTTCTCAAATAGAAAATGCAGATGAAATGCAAAATGGAAACCCCAAGAATGAAATTTAGTGTGAAGTAGTACCAGAAACTCGATGAATGCGCTTATCAAGTAGATATGATACGTGGTGATGAAAGTATCAGACAAGAAGCCTCCGAGCAGAGCTAGAAGGAAAGCTGTCCCCATGAAATTTGTGACATTGTTGGCCGATTTAGATGGTGATAAGTGCATGTACTTGGACAGATACATCACCAGGTTGCTGGCATTCGCCAAGTAAGCCAAATTCTCCAGCACTTCCACAACTGAAAAACACCAACAAAAACTAATCATTACATGAACAAGTCCGTTCCAAAGTTGGTTCATTCATAGGCAACTAAGCTAATTACCCAACACAAAAGATGCAGCAAAAACGCCACCATGTATGCCCTTCAAAGCTGGCCGGTTCCTCCAATCGGCGTAGCCTTCCCATTTGGTTTCCTGGTTCACTCCATCTTCCTGTAGAAAAAACTAGAAGATAAAAAAGGGGTTATTACAGAAAAAGAGGCTGAGAGGATAATAAAACATAAAAAGGAGAAAATTTGGGGCATGAAGGGGAACCCACCATTGTTGTGTTTTTCTGTGTCTCTCTTGAAATTTGAACTTTGGTTACGGTTGTACTGGATCTCAGGTGATGGAGGAGAAGAGCACTTTGGTTAGAAAAGCTGGGTGGTGAATGGTGGATGTTTTTAAAGAGTAGGGGAAGGGGAAAACTTTGGGGGAGAGAATTGTCTGGACACTTTAGAAAATGACTTCGATCCATGGAATTTATGTTATTTTAACTCATAATTTTATTCTCAATATTCCTTTTCTTTTTACCTTTAAATTATAACATCAATTGCAATTATAATATGACGTCATATTATTACAGCTACAACATTATTATAATTAAAACATTATAAATATATACTATTTTATAATCATTTTATATTATTTAAAAATAATTAAAATACTTTTAAATAAAATTCACTTATAATACAATTTAAACTAAATTAAGTTATAATTTACCATCTCCAAATTATGTTAATCTCTCTTAATATGTTGTAAAATATAAAATAATAAGGGGAGATTAGGAGAGAATTGATGAGAATATCAAATCCTCCCTACCGAAAGGAAAGGTTAGAAGAATATGGCAGACACTTGGTCTGACTCTCAACATAACCAAATACTTGGTATATTAGATATAATTCAATAATAATTCTGAAGTTGATAATGGCCTCACCCCATCCTAATCGTAGTACGTTAGCTTTCGCAAAACAGCAATGTTAAAAGGCACCAGATCTAGTTTAATTATTGGAATATTTTATTATTTTAAATGTTTCTAGTGTCACTACCAGTAAAATATATATTGTTTATTAAAATATTAATTAAGATGAAGGAATCGATTCTTTTAATCCCTGTATACGCAGGGTGGACTTCCATGGAGTCCGGGGGAGCCCAGGCAACCCCTCATCTAGGGGTAGACCTCTATGGTACCCGGAGTATTTCAAGCAACTCCTCCACGAGTGTCATCCCTAATTCAAGTATCACCCCTCAAAAGTGTCACTCTTAATATTCTTACAACTCTAACGAAGGCTCATGGGTCCGCATCTGTATACTTGTTTCGACACCATCCTTTAAGCTTACTTATCTCGTGGATGATGGTAACAGGTACATATATAGCAGCTTTTATACATAAGCAATTCTGGCCGTCCGATTCATTTGATAATATTACTATTTGTTGCCGTATCAAAATTTTACACTAGTGAATGGAATCTTACTAGATTTCCTTTGAGGTTAAATAAATATATGATATTTTCTTTTATCTAAGCGTGATTTGATTTTAAATCAAATTAGTGAAAATCTTGACCAAACTGGAAGGTTGAAAAGCGAGTCAAATTGTAGCTTTTTAAGGCATACCTAAATTCACTGGTTAGTGGTGCCACTAATACCATTGACCACGTAAACTATTAATTTTCAAAATAACTACCCGAATTAATTAAATTAATTTAGATGTAAAATGCTATCATTCTAACCTGTTAATTAGGTTGTTCAAAACTAAACCTTCTACTAATTAGTATTATTTTGGTATAAAACCATCAAGTCACGCTACAAAGTAACAATAGTTCATGGATCACCACAGAAATTATAAAGATTCACTGAAAACCAGCGAGAGGAAAAGCAAGTTGCAGATAGTTTTATACGGCATCGTGTAAGAACGATCACACATTTCCCATCAGATTATGACAAGACTTGCAGATCAACACAAACCAGTAATTGCAACATGATCGGACAAACCTTGGTTCGAGAAAAACAAAATCATGCGTTTCCCCAAAAATTTAATATGGACTGATAATTGATCTCTTCCAACGTATATAGTAATGTGGTTCAACTTGTATCCAATGAGAGGATGACACCTGATGAGTATACCGTCCGAAGGTCACTGTTTTGTGAAAGACAAAAAATAAACACTGTTATGAACACCAATGAAATTGTGTCTTGCGAACAATGTTTTCTCTTGCTATATGAATGCGATTGTTGTTGGTTGTACTAAAAACTTACTGTACAACTATACGTATACACACGCAGAACTAAAATATCATAGTAATCTCAGTGATTACGAGAGATATTATTTTTTTCATAACCATTTAAATTAATTTTAAAAAACTAATATGATATAAATATAGTGAGAAACTTAAAATTTCACAACGTTTTAAATCATTTAGATTATTAAATAAAAAATAATAGGATAATTTGAATTGTTTTTTTTCTAACATAGAAGTTGTTTATTTCATTTTATTTTTTGTTTTTTTTGTTTTAATTTCATCTTATTTCTCATAAAGATAAAATTGTAAGAGTTTGATTCCTATATCATTCAATACTTGAATTATTATTTTTTAATATTCTTTTTCAACCATTCAAGATACCAATGAATCTATTTCCTCGTCTACTGGTACTCTATCAAATTAGAATTTCTCAAAATCTTTTTAAAATTCATAAAAATCAATTTAAAAAGGAAAAAAAAACTTTGATCCACAATCTCCATTATTTGAACAACTTAAAATAATGACATATAACTCATCTCTTCCTTCTCCGGCTCTTTACCATTGGGATTCTAAAGAAGTTCCTCTAACATAAAAAAATCAAAGGTAATCTGGGAAAAAAATAATTTTAGGAAGATTTAAGGGGTTTTAAAAAATTTGAAAAAATTGGACAATTTCATAATTTTTTTTAGAAAAAATGGATTTTCGATTATATTATTGTTGTTTTTTAATGATAGAGTGAAACAATTCGAAAGTTGAATGATCAAGTTAAAAAATATTCAAGTTGAATGACTTAGCGAGAAATATGGACAAAGTTAGTGACGAAGAGCAACGTTTACCCTCATTAGAATCCAGTTTTCGAAAGTAAATTATTTTATGCCGATTATAAGTTAATGACCACAAATTTGTTCAACTTTTAGGCATCTAGTCAAAGGTCAGATGACAACGTGGCTTATTTTCAACCTTGGTAAGTATAATTTGGCATGACAGCACTTGCATATTTACATACGTACAAAGGTTTGTTAATTATCCAAAAGTGGTATTTTAGCTGTCTTTAATCAAGGATTACAGATATAATTCGCCAGACCAACTCATGCTTTAATTATAATTTTCGTTGTACTTCTTCTTCTAAGTAACTTTTAATCTGGAAAAAGCAATTTTACTAACAGATAAAAAAGAGGATCTCATTATCTATTCATAATGAAGATAATGTATACATCACGTTAACTAATCTATTATTAAAACCAAAGTGGGACGAGATATTTTGGCAAAAGAAAGTGAAAGGGGACACCGCTCAACAAGTGTTGTATAAGCGACAGGTGCTTGAGCAAAGATACAAGAAGACTGATCACATTTGGTGGTCTGTCTGTGGCGACTCAAACCAGAAGGTTACTGAACTGATACTAAAACGTAATGTTATATATCATTTTGAAGAAAGTAATAATTTAGTGACTAAAATCGAATTAAAATAATAATTAAATATATATTTTTTCTTTATTTATGTTATTGTCATAAATTTATTATCATTTATTAAATGGCATGTCTCATAAAATGTATAATATTATCATTTTTAGAATTTCATGTCCTCTCATATTCTTTTTGACGTATGATTAGTACATTTTATCACACCCATATAGCATATATATCTCTCTTTCAAACAAAAAATATGATATTCTTCGGCATCTAATTTCCTGACGTCCTTATAATCAAGGACGGACACAAGATAATTGTTAGAAGGGTGAATTTTTAAAATTTTAAGAGATGATAAACTTCTAAAATATTAGGGGTAAAAATAGATTTTCAATACAAAATACAAAGAAAATATCTAAAATATATGATATTTTTTATTAAAGTTTGACTCGATTCAAAGTGATATTAATTAATTTGAGAAAGTAATAAATCTAGTTTGATTAAAAGTAGAGAACTTTATTAAAGTATATTTCTACTTTATTTAGTTTCTTTTGTAATCAAGTATCTATCCTATAAATAGATATTAAGAATTAGGGTTAGAGATTAGATTGTTAATGAGGACTCTTCTTATCTTCTTCTTCTCTAGACATTAGTGAATTTTCTCTTCTTCTACCATGAGTTTTCCCGAAAGGGTTTTTCACGTAAAACTTTTGATGTCTATTTTATTGAGCGGTCATTATGCATGTCGTTATCTCCTAACAATTTTAAAATTTTAAGGAACGACTACCTCAACCTATCTCCCTTTGATCCATCCCAACTCATAATAGACATACACCTACACCTAGAGTTGATTTATCTACCTATCCCACTCGTTGTATTTCAATCTGAAATTGATTACTGAATTTGTGTAGTCAAGGGGTTTATCTAATGTCAATGTGGAGTTATTTTCTTAGATGTGCAGGATCATTATTTTTAAATCCTATAACCTCTTTTCTTTGATATAATATTAATGCCTCTAATATTATCATAGACAACTCGACTTCCTCTTTAAATTAGCGTGAACGTTACAGTAGTATACAAAACTCTTAAGTTTAGTGGGTTAGATTATTATTTTTATAAATAGTTGAGATGATTATAACTATTTTTAGAGCTTATGGCATTGTAATGCATTCCATACGGGTATAACATAGTATTATTGCAAGAAAAAATATACATTAAACAACAATATTGTTATTGTTATATCTACTGTCATTATCACCATATAATATAGCATTTATATTATATGCAACACTGCCTCAAAAAGTATGGACGGCAAAAGCAAACCCATTGTTTCTGGCATTCGATGCATTTAGCCTCAATTTAGGGTTTAATTCAAGTAAACAAGATAGGAGAATTTAGTAGAAACGGCTTTGGTTCCTAGAGAGCCTAGTAAAGCGGAGGCAGACTTGCACTTTAGCAGTTATCTATACCATGAAATGATCCATGCCTCTAATGTTCCGAGGCTAAGGTATGAGATGATCTTTGAATGCACGTTGTTACAATCTAGTCCAACCAATTTTGTCCATTCACAAAATGGGCTAAAAAAAATATTATGATGTTGAAAAGGACATGGATAAAATGTATAGTTGATTAGCTAAAATGCCTAATAAAAATAGATTGTTGACATTAACTGTAGGAAATGAGAAGATATTCACATAAAAGAAAAAAATCAAATAGTTAATCTCAGTCATCTATTTTTAATCATCTAACGATTCTAAATCTATGTAAAACTCGAGTTTTACATTGTGCAAATGGATGCTAACTCAATTAATATAATTAATGCAATATACAATTAAATTGACAGCTTAAATATATTCGAATTTATATCAGAATAAATTAGAAAGATATATGTATTGCAATTAGAATAAATTTTGAATAGAATATATACATATATTCTTAAAGTTTATGTACTTCAATTTAAGAATTAATATTTGAAATTTTTTATCTCTACAGACAATATAAAAATAAAAGAAATTTGATAATATTTAGATAAGTATCTTAATTTTAAATATTCCATAAAATGGAGAAAAGGGGGATGTGAATTCAAGCTTTTGGGCTTTCCTTTTTCCAATGTGACATAGACATATATTTAGGGCTTTGAAATTGTTTGACCTTCTAATATAAGGGTTGTTTGGGTATTAAGCCTAAAACAATTAGGTCTAACTCTGTCATTTCAGATCGGGCCTAATCCTTCTAGCTAATCAAACGAACAACACATCTCTCCCTTAATATTTACGTAAAAAATATATTTAACAAATTATTATAAAATGATCGTTAAAATTCATCAAACTATTATAAATTGATTTTTAAATTTATTAAAATTTATTTCCATAAATTTAATAATCATTTTATAATTTAATAAACATTTATATATATTTTTAAATGTATTTAGACTTATCTTTGTAGCAGGATTTTGTTATCTTTTTCTCTCTTTTTCCATAGTCGTTGTTAGTCACTTCTCTTCTTTATCTTAGTGATTAGCAGCGATATCGGTCTTCGTATTGATTGCAGACCATCGGTATTTATTAATTTTCCTTTGCTTTATTATAATATATCTTTTTTTCTTATTTTTATTCTTAATAATTCTTCTTTTTTGGCACGAATTCTTCTACCTTTATGGCATGTTTTCTTTGTTTTTATTGAGCTTTTTAGGTTTTATTTGTTATTATGACGATTTTTCCTGCTTCCGACCATCGGATTGAATTTGGATATGCGATTTGCATTCGTTAATAGTATTTTCACATCGCACGATTCTGATTTGCAGTATGTCGACAGGAGAGATACCTTATAAATTGTAGTCATGAATAAGTTCAGGCTTTGAGTCAAATGATAAACTTATCTCATGTGCGACTAGTTTTCTTATGTTTAGAGAGAGAGGGAGAGGGAGACTAAAAGCAAACAAATCCTGCCTGCGTGCCATTGCTTACTATCTACTCAAACCAAATTATAATCGTGGGCATCTAAATGATTATTAACAGACATAATCAGCAGTGGCATCAACTGCTCTAATTTTCTTCTAATTGTTTAATCCAACTAACTCAACTCTTCTTCATCTTAGTAATTAAAAATGACTTACTTTAAACTAATTGAAAACTGAGTTCTGGTGCTAATTACGTATAAATAATCAATCAATACTTTGATTTCTACGTCACTTCACGTGTTTCTAAGATGTTCTATTTTCATTGACTGAAAAACAAAAAAGAGAAGCGTATTAGTATTACGATACATATTTTGGTAAAATTATCTAGGTATTATCAGGAAAAAAAATATTTAGGATGTGGGGAGAATTACTTTGTTCATATAATATGATTGTTATTGTGTACATAGGAGAATACAAGGATGACATGGTATCTTCGAAAAGATGTCTCGATGATATGGTATCTTCTACTTAATTATATGTATATTCGAAAACTTATAACGCTACAATCTTATAGACAAGATGTCGTCCAAGCGTCTTCCAACATGAACTGGAACAACAAGTCAATAACACTATCCCGCACCTTATAAAAATTCTTTTTCCATTATATTATCTAAAAATATTTGCCTCATACATCTAAATGAAATTTTTTATAAAAAAATTCAAAAGACGTACATTTTAATCGGTGTAATTCAATAAAAAATGGTAAAATACACAAATGATCCTTCGATTATAGAATGTTGTTTTGTTGAGTCTTCCGACAATTAAAAGTTATGAAATGATCACTCGACTAATCATATGTTTCAAATTTGTCATTTTCTATTAGAAAATTGACAACAGTCTGAGTTGGAAGCGAATATGTTGAATGAGATTTATTAAACTATAATCCTAAAATATCAAACGATTATCATATTTCAGATAACGTCTAGTCTAGATGAATGTCAATTTTTTTTATTGAAAAATGACGAGTTTGAAACATATGAATAGTCGGGTGGTCATTTTATAACTTTTAATAGTCGGGGACTCAAGAAAGCAATATCATATAATTGAATAATTATTACATAACTTTTAATAGTTAGAGGACTAAATAAAATAACATACTATAATCGAATATCATTTGTGTACATTACCTAAAAAAAAGAAAATTATTGGAAATTCACCTTCTGTAGAATGCTCATATTTCCAAAACCTACTATAATACATTTCATAGTCGTATCTTATAGACTATATGCGGATTTAATTCCACACAATTAAAAGTAAAATTATATAAAATTATTTTTAATAAATTCTGATAATGTAGCATTATTTATCTTACTGATAATAAATAAAATTATATATTATAGATATAAATTGTAAATAAAATGTTATAAAAGTATTTCAAAATTAAGAGAGAAAATATATAAATTTATTTCCTTGTGTTACCACTGTTAAAATAAAATAAAATGTAATAATTATTATTAATTTATATTAAAATAAGTTTTTTATTGTTAACATTTTAAAATTATTTATCAAATTTATTAAATTATTATAAAATAATCATTACACTTTATTTAGGAATATATGTATTTTTTTAATTAATCTAGGGTGATTACAAGTAGTAATAATGTTCTATTGATTCTTAACAATTTCAAAATGAATGCTTAAATACCCTTACAGTTGATGGTGCTCGAACCCGTGACATCTAAAGATAACAACCATCTCTTTAATCACTAAAGGTAACTTGGTTCGTGTAAGAGACATATGTATAATTTCATGTTAAGAGGATAAATAAAAGTTTTATGAAGAGCGAACATATAAAATTTTAGGTGGCAAAAACAAATTATCAATAAAAAATATAAAAAATATTTATAGTATATGAGAATTCAAAAATCTTTAGGACTTGTTTCTCCCACTCTCGATTCATCCCTAATTAGATTTCTTAATAAATGTAAAAGGTTTGAATTTTAACATTGTAAAATAACTGAGTTAAAAAATCGCTCTCATAATAAGTATTTACAATACTTTATCTGATTTAGTCAATTAATAAATTAGATATCGATGTGTTTTACCGAAATAGCATAGAGTCATATATACACCCTTACTTTATATAAAACCAAACAAGAAAAAGAAAATTCAAAGCATAATTTGCGTTTATATGAAAATGGTGAAGCATTGACCTTAAACAAGGGGCTGCGATCTGGAAAATCAAAATCATTTTCTCTAATTTATTAATTCATTGGAATTATTTACATAGCTTCACGTCCTAATCAGATTCTGGTCTCGCTTCAAAACATGTGACGGCGAACATTTTATGTACGATTTCATATTCTAATGGAGAATCAAATTTTATTTTATAAAAAATTGATAAAACCAATTAGATATTTTTCAGTTAATAATATTTAAATAAAAACTCGTTTACTCAATTCGTAAATATTAAGATTCTAACCCCTAATCTTCCTTAAGAGAGCTAGTGTTTTATCCCATTAAATCAACTAATTGTTGGTATTTAATATTTAATTTAAAGTTGAAAAGAAAAGAAAATCAATTAACAAAGGAATAATATCACAATTGGTACAATATTTTCATCAAATACTTAATATAAGGAACACAAATATTTATACGAATTGTCATTAATTGATTTCATGATGGTCCCTCCAAACTCTTTCAAGTAAACATTTTCTTACGTCCAAGACATTCCACCGAGGCTTAAACCTTAAGCATAATCTTAAATCTTATGATGTCTACAAAAATTTCGGTCATTTGCACTTTTAATATTGATATTGTCTTCATTAACAGTATTTAATGACATGTTCATGCATACATACATATTTATCATTCAATGTGATACATTTGTATCTAGACATCCCAATGGTCTACTTATAAAATGTCCATAACTTTGCTTCCCACTCCACACTCTAGAGAGGAATAAAAACCAATCTTTTCCTTGGAATCGAATCATTAGGTATATATAATTTTCAACCCAAACTCCCCCTTACCACTACAAGGAATGGTCCAAAGAATAAATACTATTCTTCAAGCTTTATTTCAGCAGGCAGGTTCATGGAACAACCATGAACATATTAAACTATGGAGTATATCAAGAAAAATTATACCAAATAACAAAACTTAATTTCATAAATATGATGAGCGAAAGAAAACACAGTATCAATGGTGCTTGGAAGATCAAGCACTTCACCAGATAGATAACTCCCTCAGGACGGCTCTACAGCACAAGAAAACCCAAGGGAATGACTCGGACTCATTTCACTTATAACTCAACAAAACACAGTTTTTTAACGAACTCACTAACAAAAAAGCATATCTCTAAGAACCCACATGGAGAGTCCCAGAGATTAACAGATAACGCTTATAATACTATAGACTTCTAACTGCAAAACTTATAGGCAAGCTATGTTGAGGGGGGCGGCAACTTCGTCGAAAAGAGAGTCATCAGTGCTGAAATCACAATCAGCTAACTCACTGGGTTCGTCGGCTCCAATACCACAAATACTTAGGTCTTCAATGCTGCAGTAATCCTCCAGCATCATTCCAAAATCGTTGACAAACAGAAAATCACCAGCCTCGGTGTCTATGTTGAGTTCTTGGTCAACTGAACCAGAAAGCAATGAATCGTCGATGAAACAGAGATCAGGTATTGGTATATCGGCAAAGTTCACATCAAACATTTCTTTGTTGGTATCACCGCAATCATCATTGTTGTTCGAGACCGAAGCAGAAGTATCCACCTCGAGCACCGATGGAGAGGTATGCGACAAAGCGCCCTCAGACTCCTCGGAAGTAGAGGGAGTCGTGTTGTGAGAAGCAGCGGCGGAGCACGAAAGGTCATCGGTTTTCACAGACGAAAAAGAAGCGGAAGCAGCTGCAACGGCCAGAGATTCGAATTCAAGCTTTTTAGCTTCGTAAGCCTTGGCTGCTTCTTCAAGAGTGTCGTAAGTACCCAACCAAATCCTGGTTTTCTTCAGTGGATGCCGGATTTCAGCAGCCCACTTACCCCACTTCCTCTGACGAACACCAACATGTTTCTTCGTTTTAGTAACCTTAGACTTTTTTACTTCGAGGGCTTTGGTCATAACCCTTTTCCTTCTGGTAGGGGTTTTAGAGTTACTGTCTTGAGAAGAAGACTCGGATTCAAGGGGTTTTGCTTGTGGTGCCAAACCCAAAACAGGAACACTGATTTCACGAACAAATCGCCTTCCCTTCGGGGCTTTTCTAGCAACTTGTTCATCGGATTCACCTTCACTCGAAGACGAATCAGTCGCATAAGGATCATGGAAGATGACTCGAACTTTTCTAGTCATTTGGGCTTCTTCAGTCATGATAGACTCGGTTTTCCGGGATTTTTTGCAGGATTTACTTGGATTCATGGTTTGTTTTCGATTGTTCAACATTTATCTGTAAACAAACTGGGTAAAAACTTGACTAAACCCCCTCTCAAAATACCCGGAAAACTGTGGACAAACTATGAAAACAAAATCAAGCGAATAAAAGGGTGAACTAAATCTCTCAGACTCTCAAAGCAGAATCAAGTATGAGCCCCTCTTAGAAACAAGAAAAGATAGAAAAATCGTTGTTTCATATGGAAACCTCCAATACACTCAAATCCGAAACAAGTCCTGCAAACGAAAACCAACCCGACATCAAAACCCAGAACAAAAACATATCAGATGAAAAATCTAACACATGGGTTTAAATGTTTTGACATACTTTTTTGATCTCAAACGCATCGAAACAGCCGGGAACACGAGATTCAGTCTCTGCCTAGAGAAGCAGAGAATCATGCAAGAAACAGCCAACAAAGCGGCGAAGAACAAGCGTGCACAGATAGTAGTTGTTGAAGAAGAAGAAAAACAGAGCTGCAACTGAGCCCCACTCGAAGCCAAATCAAACTCAGCCGACATAAATCCACTAATCAGCCTCCCTTTAGTGCTCTTCACAAGCGCAACGGAAATCACCACCGAAGAGAGAAGAAAGAAACGCTCACAACAAAGCCTCTTCTGGCCTTGGATACTACTATATCTGGTAAGAAGAAAAAGGGATTAGAAACATATGGCTATGATCTCTCTCTGTCTCTGAAACTCTACAAGCTAAGAAAAATCCAGCAACAGCAAGCCCTTATCGCTTTGCTACGAACAGTAATATAGACCACGAGGTAAGAGACACCGCCACAGTGAAATAAGCAGTGTAAAAAATATTACCGATCAACGAGGTTAACACAAGACACAAATCTCAAACAATTAAAAATATAATAAATTAAATATTCAAACAAAAACACAAAACACCATTTCCATTTCCCAAAGAAAAGTCAGAAAATAATAATATTATTAATTTCCCATTACCTTTTCTCTCTGTATAGTGGGTGTGGACTGAATCTGGATTTTCTTCGAATTTTATTCAAATATTTGACGTCGCTTCTCTGTTTTTCTTCCAAGGCATTCACCTTTTTATCATGCCTCGCAGGCAGTCTAAAATCGGCATTATAGAGAATTTATATAATATTATTGAAATAATTAAAAAGGTAAAAGGGGTTAAAATTTAATTTAGTGATTTATTTATGGAAATCAAAATAGAAAATTAGCTGTCATGCATATCCCACCAATGCATGACGAGTCTATTGCCAATCTTTACCGTTCATGGCTATCATGTTTTTCACTGCACTGGTTTTTATTTATTTGTGCTTGATTTTTTTCTAACTAACGCTTGCCACTCGCGATTGTGTGCACGCTTGCATCGGCGATGGGTTTAACTTTGGCGCCTAGGGAATGGACCAGGTGATGGCGTGTTGAGTGCACGCGTGAAGTGTTGGGATGGGGATAGGAAGTCTGGTGTTTGCAGCTATATTTTGGTATAAACGAAGCGCCGCGATTCGGCAACGTATCAGCGAAGGGCTCTTCTTGGTCTTTTCCACTGAATTGCCGTAACATTCGGGTAGTAAATTACATCAAGCCACTGAAGAGACCACAGTTCATTTCACCTACAATTCTACTACGGTCTATAATTCCTCCGCTTTTACCTTTTCCTTATTCGAATGTTTCTAATTTTTTTCTTTCTATTGGGATAAATTTCCTATTAAAAAATATTATTTCTCCGATTAAATTTATTTTCCTTATTCAAAAGTTTTGTCTTTTTATAAGTTTGTGAGTTACATTAACTATAAAATAATTCAATATCACATTATTTTTTTTTAAATATAAGAGTCTTATGTACCCTTTTATCTAAAAAAAAGTTAACTCCGTTTTCCGCTCTCTTTGTTTGAATTTTTTTTCAATTTTTATTATTGAAAAAAATACATTTAGATTTTATCACTATGAAAAAATATTTTAAAAATATATATATATTTATAAAATGAATTAATATAAGTGGGATAAAAGATTTGTATTAAAGCCTTTTAGTTATTATTATTGAATAAAAATTTTAATGAATTATAATTTTAACGAATTGTAATTTTTTAAAATTTGTTTTTATTATATAATTATATGTATATGTAATTACGAAATAATTTTTTGAAAATATCTTTGATTTTTAAAAATTATAAAAGAAACATTATGAAGATTTAATGTGTTTTTTTTTTGTAGTTATAACTATTACAACACGTTTTATTCACTATAAAAAAAAAATTAAGGTGACAACTACCTGCGTTTTCATTTACTCTTTTAGGGTTTCGATTAACAGCTTTTTTTTTTTTTGGATAATTTCGATTAACAGCCTTTGCAAGGGAATACAATGTAAGAGATTGCAACCATAACATAAAGTCAATGTCGTGTAATATTTTCTTTTACGTTTAACCATTCATGGTGGACATGAAAAAGATAAATATATTTGGGATAGACCATTGGAAGTTTAGATAGAGGTTAATATCGATGGAGTTGTTTGTAGTAGTGATCGTATAGCGGCTGTAAATGTGAAACTAAAATAGACTGCGAAATGGCAATCGCTTCCCAGCTTCCACAGAAAATTACGAAGGCGGAGTCGTCAGCAAAAAGGAAAGGCCTTAAAAAGCCACGTCATCAATCTGATCACACAAAAAAAATCCAACCAAATATAAAAATAAAAATAAAAGGGGAAAAAAAAGGAAAAAAGAGGTTAGTGTATAAAAATCATATTCCAGCGCAATTTGCCGTTACAGACATACATCAAACTGCATGCAATGAGAAATAAAAAAGAAGGGAAGCTCGGTCCCCATTAATAAAAATCCTCGTCATCATCGACCAAGTACACCAACCCCCTACAGATGTCATACACTTGTCCCATTTCTCCACGTGTCGATTGTGTACCTCTTTGAGATGGTAAGCCTTTTTTTTTGGCGGGAATGGATAGAAGGTGGGCTCCACGTCATCTCATTTGGCGCGAAAACAAGCTACCTCCTTTTGGTCCACTCATCTTCATTTGCGTACCCAACTTGGCCTCTAGTTGAACCCCGCCCTTTCCGGGAAGTTATGGTGCGAGGGCGTTTTTCCCTAAAAAAAAATATCAATCTTTTTAATTTAATATTATTGATCACATATTAGTCAGATTATATTTTTGATCTAACACTCTTTGCAGTAAAACGTGTCCTTGCATTGCGCTATACGTTGAGTTGACGTCACGTGGGTAAAGTGCGTCCCCTGAGACGCGTCTTATGCTGACATAGATACACGTGTGAACGGGCGAAGGTAGATTGGTAATTAAGGGTATGGTACGGCGCCTTACCTGTGATTCAGAAAGTCGCGGCCTCAGCCCTGCGCTATACCCTTAATTACCAAATTACACCTACCCGTTTACACACATTACTCCCTATAAATACTCCAATTCTCAATCACTTTCATCATACCAAATCATCTCAACTTCTCTCAAATACTCTTATATTCTATTATTAAGGTATATTTTATTATAATCGTAAATAATATAATTTTATATTATTACTTACACCGTAAAAATATTTCGACGTATGCTCCCACTTTCTAATTCTACAAACACATAAATTAATTGAAAACAATTAGTATAATATTTTTTTCAAATAATCATATATAACTATAAAATAAATATTATAACAAAATTACCTTATAAAGAAAGATCGAACAAACTTCTGAATCAAATATAAGATAATTATCGGATGTTATTTACTTATTCAAAGGATTGTTGGTGAGAGAATTTACGGGAGACGACTATTTATAGTTGATAGATGATGCCTTAAAGGCGAGAAGTTTGGGAAAATAATACAAGGTGTGGTCCTTGTACCGCGCCTTGCATGATGCATGTTTGATAATTGAGATAATTGAATAGCGCGGCCCTTGTCTCGCGCTATATCTAACGTAGCATAAGGCGCGGCCCCTGTCCTGCGCTAACTAACGTGTATCTATGTCAGCATAAGGAGCGTCTTACTGCAAAGGGTGTTAAATCGAGAAATATAATCTGACCGGTGTCTGATCGGGAATATTAAATTAAAAGGATGATTTTTCGGGAAAAACACCGCAGATTAATATACTGTTAAAAAATAGTGTTATTGGTTAAATAGGTTACCGATTAAAAATGATATCAAAAATATTATATGTTTTCACCGAAAATATTATATGCGTTGATAATAATAATGGTTATAATTGAGAATATTATCGTTGTATATAAAATGTGCCAAAAAAATATTGTCTTTAATATAACCGACTAATTACTGAAAATATTATCAACTATAATAACATAATAGGTAACGCCTATTTTATTTTACCGTTTACATTATTATTAATCTTTAAACAAATCGGTAATTATTTTAATGTAATATGTAGCGTCTATTTTATTTTACCATTTACATTATTAACAACCTTCAAACAATCCGGTAGATAATTTAACATAATATGTATCACTTAATATAATAGATAACGCCTATTTAACAAAATATGTAGCGCCTATTTTATTTTACCGTTTATATTATTAGTAACTTTTAAATCAAACCGGTAGATATTTTAACGTAATATGTAGCGCCTATTTTATTTTACCATTACATTATTAGTAATCTTTAAAAAAATCGGTAGGTATTTTAATATAATAGGTAGCGTCTATTTTATTTTACCGTTTACATTATTAGCAACCTTAAAACAAACTGGTAGGTAGTTTAACATAATATATATCACTTATTTAACCATGGTTTTCAGAACCGAACCGGTTAGCGAACCGGTCATGCTATCGGTTCACTGGTTCAACCGGTCGAACCGATCCGACCGGTCGGAAGAACCGAACGACGTCATAATTATTTAAAAAATTAAATAAAAATACCAAAAATATTTAATAAAAAATAATTTTGTATATTACAAGTCATATTCAGAGCAAGTCATAACATATATGAGTTAAAAACCATAAAATCAAGTGAAACAAAATAATTCAAATTAACTACAACATAAATATTTAAGATAAAACATATTAAATAATAAATATAATTATATAACTACAATTAAAAAATAAATTTGGGGCTAAAAAAATCATAACAAAATGATATTGTTTGGTTTAATTTTTTTTAAAAAAAATATCTCACATGGCTAAGAAACATAGACGAGCATCCCAACTAACTTCTATAAATTATAGAGGTAATTTGACATTCAAAATCATAGAGCCTTTTGGTGAGCATTAAGCGAATTATTCTTTCACTTCAATCAAGCTCGAATTTTAGGCTTCAATCGAGCTTCTAAATTTTTTTTGAGTTCAAGTCTTTTCGAGTTCAAGTTTTAATATTATATTTCGAGTTCGAGTTGAACTTGATAATTTTTAGTTCGTGAGTTTGAGTCGAGTTGAGCTTACTTTTAAAGTTTGAGTCGAGCTCAGCAATACTCGAGTTCGACATGGCTCGTTTAACAAACAATGTCGTTTGGTTTAATTTAAAAAAAAATGGCGGTTTTTTCTGGTTTTTCCCGGTTTTTAGCCGGTCCGGTTCAAACGGTTCAATGGTTCCGGCCGGTTTACTAATAGCGGTTCAACCGATTTAGTTTGAACCGGACTAGACAACGGTTCCCGGTTGAACCGGCCTGTCCGG